TATAGATAACACTAACATAAACATTTGGTGAAAATTTCAAGTATTTACAGTGATTAGTTTTTGAATTACAACCATATAAAAAAATCGATTTGGTTAAAAACTGGTTTTGCGTAAAAATTCCTTTTTTTCTGTAATTTTTTTTTTGTTTTTCTCTAAACTTTTGGAAAATGTTTACTTTTGACTATAATTCACCCAGGATATGCACTTTTACATCGRAAACCACTCMCAAAGTTTGAAATTGAAGAATTATTTCGACTACTTATGCTGTACACAGACCCAAAAAAAAACACACACATCATTGTAAAATCAATAAATTCATCACTTCGTTCAGAATCTAAAACATGAATTTATATTTATATATATTTTTTTACTTTTAATTTATATTAATTATGTATGACAGGACGAATTTATTTTACTCATTTATCTTGAGTAATATATATTATATGTATTTATATATATATATATATTTATTGTGATTTACATTATTTTAATTTTAAATATTTTATATTAGTTATAAATATCTCAACATAAATGTATGCTATCTATAATATTGTATAACGGACAAATTTATCATTTTGAATTTCTCTGCACTAAACTTACTATAAAGCATACATTTATTCCTTCGTGTTTGGAATAAAACTCGTGTGTAGCTTTTATATTATTCAGTTCTACCTTCTACGTCGATTCAGTTCACTTCTGTGTCGTGTTTTTTTTAATCACACGTGGCGGACCTTTTACGAGTAGTCCGGTTCAYGTGAGTTTTGATCTGTTTAGTACGAGTTGTCGATGACATCTTTTACGTTCAGGTCATGTCTACTTTCACACATGCTGAATTTATACACTAAGMGTAATATATTTATTTCACTGTCTCATTATTTGACTTATTTATCACTGTCATTGCAAATTCTGTATCATTTCTACCGGCGCTCCCCTCACTTACCAACTAATATTTTACATTAGAACCTATATTTTAATATATTATTTGATAATCATGTAATGAATTTATAATGT